CCTTAGCCACTGGAGCCACAGGCGCCGAGCCTTTTCAGCCTTTTTGATCTTACAACATACCTGTACTTAAAGTTAAACTTTCGCAGCACTCTTAAATTATGTTGATCAAAAGAAGAATAAGAATATACCTATAGTGCTTCTTTCGAAAATAATTTAATGAATGATCTTTAACAGTTTTTGCACCACATGTCAGTTCCTCTCACGGCACACCAGTGTGCCCCAACACACTGGCTGAAAATCTCTGCTCTGAAGGGAGACCTTCCAGGCACGCACACGGGCAGACTCTCAGGGCTGGCCTTCCACGGCCCGGAGCCTCTGCTTCTGAGCCTGTGTGTGCCTTGCCGTTACCCGTCAGGGGGCTGCTGTTTTGGTTCATTTTACAGGTGGGGAAACCAAGCAGGTGACAGTGGAGTGTGGTGTCAGGACAGAGGCTGCGTGGAGTACAGGGCCCCACCCCAGCCTCTCGCCATACCCCTGTCTGGGAAGGTCCAGCCAGGACAGTGCAGACAGCCTTTCGCCCCGAACTCGGCCTGGTCTGTGTTGACCCTTCTGTGCAGTTGTAAATATTATGTGCATGTCTCTTTTGTCCCTTTATATTAGTATGGCCAACTTAAAGATCGAGCTGTCAAAATTAGACAGTGAAGCCTGGCCTGGGGCACTGGATATCGAGAAGGAGAAGCTGATGCTGATTCATGAAAAAGAAGAACTTTTGAAAGAGCTGCAGTTCGTCACCCCGCAGAAACGCACGCAGGATGAGCTGGAGCGCCTGGAGGCCGAGAGGCAGCGGCTGGAGGAGGAGCTGCTATCCGTGAGGGGTGCTCCCAGCAGAGCTCTGGCTGAGAGGTTCGTCCTGCCCCTGGGGACAGGGCAGCTTGACCCTGTGGGGGTGTCTTAGCCGATGCTGTTGTCCCTGAGCTTAGGAATCTTTTATTTATATGTGTAGTTTTGAGATAGAGTCTCAGTCCATCACCCTGTGTAAAGTGCCATGGCATCATCGTAGCTTACAGCAACCTCAAATTCCTGCACTCAAGTGATCCTCCTGCCTCAGCCTCCTGAATAGCTGGGAGGGACTACAGGCACCACACCTGGCTAGTTTTTTTTATTTTTAGTAGAGATGGGGTCTTGCTCTTGCTCAAGCTGGTCTCTGAACTCCTGAGCTTAAGGGATCCCCCTGCCTGACCTCCCAGAGTGCTGAGGTCACAGTGTGAGCCACCTCGCCTGTCTTGGGCTTGGAAATCTTAATCGCATCTGTTCTTAGTGAACTGAGGAGCTGCACAAGAGAACTTTCTGTAGAGCAACAAAACACACCTTCCATTGGCAGACAGTATCGGTTCTTCAGTATTCTGCTGGGAATGTGAAAATGGCCAAGACAGACATTGCTGGGGAATGCTGGCATGAACCCGAATGCAGCTTGTCTCCAGCTGAGCCTGATAACAATAGCTGTAAACTGTTGCCCTCTGATAAGGAAGATTATCTAGACTGTTACAGTGACTGAGGCTTTCTATCCTGCATTTTATTACGCTTTCATTTCTCAAGAAAGACAGTTTGCTACCTTTGATACCCTAACAGGTCACAAAGCATTCACATGGATTTTGTTGGTCAGTTGAGACTCTTCCTCAGAAGCAGGTGAAACTGGAAGGGAAGAGACTCCAGGCAATTTACTGATCTGTTCTCTGGGAAGGTGTGAGTGGGCTATTTAAAAATTCCGGTTCTCAAAAAAAAAAAGAATTTCGGTTCTGTAGGGAGATCAGCTGGAATATTAAGTGAGGGAACCTCTGTGTAAGTTTTATGCAGATACGTCAGCGTAGAAGCCATTGCTGGCTGATAGGATCAGACACCTGCTTGGGGGCACACCACATGGTGGCCCTTCAGAACCACCGAATATACATCCTTTAGGGACAAGTAGGGAGCAATGCCTGTCCCAGAACAGTGGGAAAGAAATCCTCATTAGGAGAGTTTCAGATGGCCTGGAATTAACATCCATAGAAACATCCACTCATAATCCAATTGCTTTTTATTTTTGTTGATTTGTTCTGAGACAAGGAGTCTCACTCTGTCACCCTGGATAGAGTGCCATGGTGTCATAGTTCACAGCAACCTTAAATTCCTGGGCTCATGTGATCCTCCTGCCTTAGTCTCCTGAATATCTGGGACGACAGGCATTGAGCAAAACAATGCCTGGCTGGTTTTTCTATTTTTAGTACACATGGGTCTCGCTCTTGCTCAGGCTGGTCTAGAACTCCTAAGCTCAAGTGATCTTCCTGCCTTAGCCTCCCAGAGTGCTGGGATTATAGGTGTGAGCCACCACACCCAGCCTTGAATATTCTGTAAAACCAAGTGCTGGAGGGGAGGTTGTGAATATAATTTTCTTTTTAGTGGGAAAAGGTCTTCTTCTATAGATGATGTGAAGTGAAGTTTTTCCTAGGTACAGACTTCTGGGTTTAGGAGAAGCCAGACTTCTATCCCACAGGACACTGGGGCAGAGGTGGGGCAGTGTGAGGCCACACTTTGCGAAAGGCAGCTGAAAGGGAGTGCGGAGCAGCTAGACTCAGGTCGAAAAGCCCCTTTCTCATCCAGGAGACCAGAAAGCAGGGATTGGAGAAGAGATCAGAGGGGCAGATGTGCACCCTCTTGAAAGGGCTGACAGCTTCAGCCCCGGTCCAGGGGAAGCTGGGGAGGTGGTTTCCCATGAAAGACACCTGGAATCTGAGGAAGACTTCAGGCTCCCACTGGGAGAGGCTTTGATGATCACATCAGAGGCAGACTGCAGTCCCACTGGAAGGAGTTTTGTGACTATCTCCAGTGCCTTCATCATGCTTCTCCCCATGAAGGTCTCATCCAGACACCTACAGGAAGGAGGTACAGTGCTGGGCATGCTCAGTGCTGCTCAGGCAGCCTGGGGAGAAGAGGGAGCAGCCGTGGCTGCCTCTGGGGCCGTGAGCTCTAACTGGGGACCAGGGGACGAGAACATAAAAGCCAAGCAAGCTTTGGGAGTTCAAAGTAACCATGAAGGAGGGGAGAGCAGACTGAGGCTGGCCTAGAGGCGGCAGAGAAGGCCTCTGTGTAAGGGAAAGGAGGAAGCCCTGGAAGTTTCCATGCTGGTGAGAATCAGATTCTGATGCCATCCTGCCACCTCCCTAAAACATGAGAGGGACTTCATTTTAGTAAAAACAGTATTTAGTTTTAAAACTTGCCTCAAAAGGCCAGGTGCAGTGGGTCACACCTATAATCCCAGCATTCTGGGAGACCAAGGTGGGAGGATCTCTTGAGCTCAGGAGTTCAAGACCAGCCTGAGCAAGAGTGAGACTCTGTCTCTACTAAAAATAGAAAAACTAGCCAGTTGTTGTGGTGGGTGCCTATAGTCCCAGCTACTCGAGAGGCTGAGGCAGGATTGCTTGAGCCCAGGAGTTTGAGGTTGCTGTGAGCTAAGACAGAGTGAGACTCTGTCTCCAAAAAGAAGAAAATTTCAGACCCCTAGCATTTCTGAATTCTCAGTACTGCTGGCTGTGTGGCCTACCTTGCCCTGGTCCTTTAGCTTGGCCACACCTTGGCACACCTCTGCCTCCATCCTTTTTGCTGGGCATCCTGTATGTCTACTCCCCACACTGCCCCTGTGATACGTAATGTTTGTATAACAAGAATCTTTCTTTTCTTCTAGTCTTTGTGTGTCATCCTAACCATTTGAAAATAAATGAGTTTCTATATTTTTGTCCTAGATTGAGATTGGAAGAGAAAAGAAAAGAGTTGTTACAGAAACTTGAAGAAACTACTAAATTAACTACTTATTTGCATTCACAACTTAAAAGGTAAGCCTTTAGATTCCAGGAGGGAAAATTTACCACTGACTATGTTCAGGCATGTTATCTAGTTCATCTTCCATTACTTTTCATTTTATTTTCAATTATAGTGTATTTAAAAGTAAATGTAGGCTGGGCAGAATGGCTCACACCTGTAATCTCAACACTCTGGAGGCTGAAGCAGGTAGATTGCCTGAACTCAGGAGTTTGAGACCAGCTGAACAAAAGTGAAACCCTGTTTCTAGAAATAGAAAAACTAGCTGGGCATAGTGGCACATAACTATAACCTCAGCACTCTGGGAGCCAGAGGATGGTGGACCATCTCAGCTCAAGAGATGAGTAAGAGTGAGACCCCATCCCTACAAAAACAGAAAAACTAGCCAGGTATGGTGGCAGGTGCCTGTGGTCCCAGCTACTTGGGAGGCCGAGGCAAGAGGATCACTTGATCCAGGTTTGAGGTTGCTGTGAGCTATGATGCCACAGCACTCTACCCAGGGCAACAATGTGAGACTCTGCTCAAAAAAAAGAAAGAAAAAGAAAATGTAATAGTTACAGGAGTACAATTAATATTTGACCAAATTTAAAGTCACAATAGATGAATTTTTTTCATGACCCCTAAAGTTATATTTAGATTACTTTTGAAATACGCTATAGGAAGAAGATACATGTTAGCTATCAATACATACTTAGGAAAATAACATTTTTCCATTACCTCATCTTTTAAAAAGGCAAGGTAGAATAGATGTGGATTTCCTTTTATTAGTTAGGAAAATACTCCATAAATTCACACACAGAGAAGAGGTAAAGGTTAGTGAAGCTGGAGGTCTTTTGTGTAACCTCTTGTGTTTCTCTAAAACAAAAAGCTTTTTTAAAAATGCAGTAACTATGTTGGTACTTTGTGCTGTTCATCCTCTTTTCCTCTTTCAATATTTTTTATTAGCAAACATGCTTTGGGTATCCATGCAAATAAATTTACTAATAGATATTTGATCTTTTTTTTAACTTTTGCTAAGGGAGGATAATTTTTAATAAGAATAGAATAGCTACTTAGAAAGTATGTTGAGAACAAGATTTCTTTGTTATTGTTGCTGAGACAGAGTCTCACTCTATGCCCTGGGTAGAGTACAGTGGCATCGTCAGAGCTCACAGAAACCTCAAAATCCTGGACTCAACCAATCCTCCTGCCTCAGTCTCCTGAGTAGCAGGGACTATGGGCACGTCCCATGACACCTGGCTGGGTTTTTTATTTTTTGTGGAAATGGAGTCCTGCTATTCCTTAGAGTGGTCTTAAACTCCTGAGTTCAAGCAATCCACTGGCCTCAGCCTCCCAGAGTGCTGGTTACAGTGCTGAGCTACTCTGCCTGGCTGGAGAGCAAGATTTAAAATGTTGGTGAGTAAGTGTGGAAAATATAATATCCAGTTGTGTGCAACGTAATGACATTTTGGTCAAGGACAGACTGCCATAAATGATGGTGATCTCATAGCACTATAATGCCATATTTTTGCTGCACCTTTTGTTTTTAGAGACACATACTATTGTGTTATAGTCGCATACAATATTGAGTGCAGTCACCTGCTGTACAGGTGTGGCCCAGGAGCAATAAGCTGTCTCATACAGCCCAGGCGTGTGGGACTGTACATTTCTTGAGCATTTCAGCCTACCATGGAGGTTTGTGTGAGAACACATTCTCTGATTCCATTGCCTAACAATGCATTTCTCATAGCATTTCTCTGTGTTGGGTGTCAGGGGTATGAAGGACTCGGGGGGGCTGGGATTGGGTTTTCTGTGTAGGACTGGACTTGACAGCATGTGCTTTTGTTCCCTCAGCCTCTCTGCCAGCACCCTGTCCGTGTCATCCGGGAGCAGCCTGGGCTCCCTGGCGTCCAGCCGTGGCTCTCTGAACACCTCCAGCAGAGGGTCACTCAACTCTCTGAGTTCCAGCGAGCTCTATTACAGCAGTCAGGGCGATCAGATAGATCCGGACTATCAGTATAGACTGGACTTTCTTCTGCAGGACAAAGGCGGCTACATTCCCTCTGGGCCCATCACCACCATCCATGAAAATGAGGTGGCCAAGTCCCCCGACCAGCCTGGTCAGAGCAGACTCTCCGGGGTGACGGCCACCGCCACAGCCCACACTCCCTTGCTAACTGAGGCCCCCAAGTCTGTGACCTCCTTGTCCTCAAGGTCCTCCCTCTCCTCCTTGTCCCCTCCGGGCTCTCCCTTGGTTTTGGAAGGCACCTTCCCCGTGTCTCCCCATGACGCCTCTCTGCAGCAGTTCACGGCCGACTTTGACGACTGTGAGTTGAGTAGCCATTTTGCAGACATTGGCCTGGGCGAAAATTCCATCTTGCTGGATTCTGACTCAGGAGGAGCATCCCAGTCTCTTCTGGAGGATAAAGACCTGAGTGAGTGTGCTAGAGAGCCTCTGTGTGAAGGGGCTGCAGGTAAATGGAGACCTTTGCTTTCACACACTCCCTCTTCATCATTCTAAGGCAATTGATTTTTTGGATTGATTTGAAGGTTACTTTTTCCATATAAACAAATGATCTCCTTTATGTTCTTCTTCTTCTTCTTCTTCTTTTTTTTTTTGTTTGAGTCCTGTCACCCTGGGTAGAATGCCCTAAGCTCACAGCAACCTCAAACCCCGAGGCTCAAGCCATCCTCTTATGTCAGCCTCTGGAGTAGCTGGGACTACAGGCACCCACCACCACGCCCAGCTAATTTTTCTATTTTTTTTTTTTTTTTTTTTTTTTGAGACAGAGCCTCAAGCTGTCCCCCTGGGTAGAGTGCCGTGGCATTACAGCTCACAGCAACCTCCAACTCCTGGGCTCAAGCGAGTCTTCTGCCTCCGCCTCCCAAGTAGCTGGGACCACAAGCGCCCGCCACAACGCCCGGCTATTTTTTGGTTGCAGCCGTCATTGTTGTTTGGCGGGTCCGGGCTGGGGATTCGAACCCGCCACCTTAGGTGTACATGGCTGGCGCCTTAGCCGGTTGAGCTATAGGAGCCGAGCCAATTTTTCTATTTTTAGTACAGACAGGGTTTTACTGCTCAGGCTGGTCTCAAACTCCTGAGCTCTGGTGATCCACTCACCTCAGCCTCCTGTAGTGCTGGGATTACAGGTGTAAGCCACCGCACCCAGCCCTAGTCTCTTTCTTCTGAGTAATCGTTTTGGCTTTAATTCAGTAGATGTATTTATGTACCAATTACGTGCCTAGACAGTGCCTGGTGTGTTGTCCACAGACCCTCTTTGTATGCTTACTGACTGGGAACATATTTTGTGAACACATGTCATACTTCCAAATAGATTTTGGCTCTGAAATACCTAGGCAAAGAAGAGGGCTTTCTTTTAGAAGATGGCCTAAAACAGATTAAAACCAAGGCAATTAGCATACTAGCTAATTAGTACCAAGGTTCAATGTTTGGATTGCTCGGGGAATTCTATATAAATACAATTTTTCTTTCAAGCCAGGCTCTCTCTCCCTTTCTGCCAAAGAAAGGCAAAGTTGATTTGCCTTTCCACATGCAGTGTCACCCTGCCACCTCCTGGCCAGGTTAACAGTTGCAGCCCAGGGAAGTGATGGCCTCAGAGGAAGCTCTTACCCCTGTGTCTATACCCGGAGACAGAACAAGGGGAATTTAATTGTTTGTTTTCTTTTGCAAGGCAGAAACTTTTACTATATTAGAAATGGTTGTAAAGAGCATAAGTTGGTGCCCTTGCTAGCAAATGATCGCTGCTCGAGGTGACATGTGGAATAAAAGCCCCAATGCACATCCCCAGAAGCCTGGTTCGGATCTGCATGCTTTACTGTGTGTCCTGCTGAGCGGCAGGGGACAGGCCTCTTTAGAGCTGTTTTCTTGTTATTCTGAGAAGCATTTTTATTTTTAGGAATTCTGAGTATTAATCGATTGGCCAGCTCAGATGTGTAGAATCTGAAAATAAGATGGAGTCGGGCAGACATGACCCAGCTGGTCTGGTTGGTCTGGGTGCTAAGTGATCTTCATCTTCTGTCTCCTTATTCTTATTATTTCACAAATTTAGTTCCCACCCTATAGATGCCTGTCTCAAGTAGTTTAGGTGGATTGATTTAAAGTATTAACTTTTAAATTGCAATATTATACTGGTCACTGAGTTATGCTAATTATTATTTAAACTAAGGGTTAATATAGTCTTTACTTTAAAATTTTTAAAACTGTAATTTTAAAAATGGTAAAACAAAACAGTCTCAGAGTGGCTACTCTCACTGTTCTTCAAAATCCCAACCTTCTGACAAAGTTTGGTGGACCTATCACCGGCTCTACATTTTGGCTGACAGTGACAAGAGGCCAGACCCTCTTCATCCAATAGCATTTGTCTTCCAGTCCTGTGCCCTACCCATGGCCTGCAGCAGAGGTAGGGCTTATGTGACATTGTGACATTTGGGTGGCTTGTGTGCTGTCGAAGCCACAGGTAAGAGTTACTGAAATAAACAGGGAGCAGCATGCATAGAACAGCCGTAACAAAGTGGACAGCCACATTGGGCCTCACTCCTGCTCCCAGGAAGGGATGCATGGGACCCCTGGGCCAGCCAGGCCTGCTCCGGCCATCTCACTGCCTTGGCTGGCTGTGTTTTGGCAAGCACGTTTCCCGCCTCTTGGGCCCATTGTTCCTCATCTGCATGATGGGGATTATACGCATCTGGTGATCCCTGCAGCATCCTGGGGGGTTAATGCCATGACACGTGTAAAACATCCAGCTGTGTCTGGCACTCAGCACACACATGACACTGATGGCTGTAAATAACACAGATGCTGCTAAGCACAGTCCCCACCACAAACCACTGAAAGTTGGGAATGAAGGCCCAGGAGAATGAGAAGAAAGCTGAGTGTTCCTTGTGCCGTTCTTCTGCGCTTTGGACTTGAAAGACCTTACGTTCTTGAGCATTTCCAACTGGTCTTGCTCTTTGTGTGTTTGGAGTATCCTCTAGTAACCACTTCTCAACATTCACTCAATTTGGAGGGTCCAATAAGTGAGGTCGATGGCTGGAGAAGGAAGGGGAATCAGCAGAAACAATTCCCCAAGGTCTGTCACCCACCCAGCAAGCCCGAGGCTGAGGTCCCTGTCCTGCAGGTGGGTTTGGTTGGCGCTGCCTTGCTCCCGGCACTCAGGCCTGCTACTGCGTCTGAGAGATTCCTAGCTGGAGACAGTTGTCTCTGAAACTTCTGTGAAACAGTTTAAAAATGCACATCGTATTAGAAAGCTGCTATTAAAAAGTCACCCTAAAGGGCCAGGTGTGGTGGCTCACGCCTGTAATCCCAGCACAAGGGAGACTGAGGCTCAGGAGTTTGAGACCAGCCTGAGCAAGAGCGAGACCCTGTCTCTATTAAAAATAGGAAAACTAGCCAGGCATTGTGGTGGGCGCCTGTAGTCCCAGCTACTGGGGAGGCTGAGGCAGGAGGATCGCATGAGCCCAGGACTTTGAGCTTAGTGTGAGCTATGATCCAACAGCACTCTAGCCTGGGCGGCAGAGCAAAACTCAGTCTCAAAAAAAAAGTCACTCTAAGGGAAAATCCATAAATCCATCCAAGAACTTTGACTACAGATGACATTCAGTCTCACGTCTGAAAACTGCTGAAATCACATATTGTTGTAACTAGAAGGACTAATTCTTTCAGGTCACCAACATTTGTTCTATTCAAGGGACGTCTGCCCTTGCTGTGGGGGCAGGCGGCCCTCTGTCAGGGACACTACTCATCTCCCCAAGCACCTCTTTCATATAAACTGCGCTCTCCAGCACTGGGCCCCGCTGGATGACAGAAACCACGTTGGAATAACTCCAAAGTCCTCCACAGTCATTCGCTGTCATTGTCAAAGTCAGTTTGGGGCTGTGGTGGTTATTCCTCGGAGTAATCAGTGGATCATGTCATCACCTTCACCCCTCACAAAGGGGGCTAGGCGGAGAGCAGGCACTTCATCATCCAGGAAAAAGCATTCCCACTGCCAGAAATGAAAGGGGAAATGCAGCGCTCAATCCTATAAGCTGAAGCCTTCAGACTTAAACATCTTAACAAGATGTAAAGTCACAACTCAGGAGGGGGCCAGAATGCATAGCAATGCGGTCCCCTCACGCTTGGCCCACTGAAGGATGAAAGGGAGCAGTCAAGGGAGCAGTCCTGGGCTTATTACAGCCTGGCTCACAGCTCTAAATGAGTGTTCCTTGCTCCCCACGGGGGACTGGCTTATGAATATGAGTTACAGATAAAAGTTAAGTGGTAGTTGGTGCTAAAGATTCAGTCGCACAAAAAGTTGTTTTGATGATATTAGCTGGTGAGGAATTCCTATCAGCTAAAGACATTTTTCCCGTAATTTCTCTCAGAATAGTAGCAAAGGAGATGTAGAAAATGGCATGTGGAGAGAAGGGTCAAAAGCAAAAGAGGTGGAAACCTTTTTTCCATTGAGTAGCCGGATGCTCTATCACAGAAATAGCTCTAGTGCTTGAAGGAGGATAGTTTCTTTCTTACCCCCAAGTCTCTGGTAACTGCAGTGAACGCTATATATAAAGACATAAAGAGTTCTGAACGAGAATTTGTGTAATTCATTCCTTCCCTTAAAATATTTCAGGACAAAGAAAAACCATATTTTCTCATACATAATGACCAAAATGCCTGGCATCCCTGGAAACTTCCATGTCACAGTGCCTGGAATCGTGCATATCTGTTGGTTTAAATAGTAACATGCTTGGCTGTCAAAAGGAAATTTTAGTTTGGATTTCTCATGAGCAAACTGTGTATTTTGTACTTAACTTTTTCTGGCAGGATATTCTAATTAATGCTATCTCCATCCCCGCCTTAGATGGTGAAAAATCATTACCAAAAAGAAGAGGACTTCACTTGCTTGGGGACAAAACCACTTGCGTGTCAGCTGCGGTGTCCGATGAGTCTGTGGCTGGGGACAGCGGTGTCTATGAAGCGTTTGTGAAACAGTAAGGACTCAGCAGGGGTGCTAGCCGCGCCCTGTGGCCTCGTGGCCTGCCTGTGGGTTATGCCTGTAAATGTGCTGGTACCCCTCGTCCTGTCTTTAGAATCAGAAGGATATTAGCTGCTAAAGCAATGGTGTGCCTGAAAATTTCAGTATACCGAGAGCATCTCGTCAGCCATAAAAATAATAAATAAATTGGTGTCCTCAGAGGCAACTAATCCTCATAAAAATTTGTAAATACTTGATTTTAGTAGGAAAGTGGGAGTGATTCTCCAGTGCCCGTTTGGCCTCTCCTGTGTATCTGGAAGCCCAGAATGGCTCAGGGGTGTGGGTTGCCCTAGTAAGACTCAGGAAAGCCAGATGTCAGTCAGTCTTGGCCCAAGAGCTCTGAGGCAGACTCTTGAAAAGGTAAAGAAAGCTTCTAAAACCACCAGCTTTCACTGCTGTTAGTGCCTCTGGGATAGCATGGGAGACCTATTAATGCAGGTTTTGGGGCCAGGTGGGGTGGCTCATGCCTATAATTCCAGCAGTCTGGGAGGCCAAGGCAGGTGGATCACCTCAGCTGAAGAGTTCAAGACCAGCCTGAGCAAGAGTGAGACCCCTTCTCTCCTAAAAATAGAAAAACTAGCCAGCGTGGTGGCAGTGCCTGTAGTCCCAGCTACTCAGGAGGCTGAGGCAAGAGGATCGCTTGAGCCCAGGAGTTTGAGGTTCCTGTGAGCTATGATGCCACAGCACGCTACCCAAGGTGCCAGAGTAAGACTCTGTTTAAAAAAATTAAAAATTGGGCAGCCCCTGTTGCTCAAGGAGCAAGGCACCAGCCCCATCTACCTAGCCCGGGCCAAAAACTGCAAAAAAAAAAAAAAAAAGCTAAAAATGTAAGTTTTCATTCAGAATCATTAAGTGGCAAATTGTGACCATAACAATTGATATCCCCATTAACTGTTCACATCTTCACTGTCCCTAGGCCCAATGAAATTGAAGATGTCACATACAGTGAAGAAGATGTGACCATTGTGGAAACTGCCCAGGTCCAGATAGGACTCAGGTAAAGGAGTGTGCCTGGGGACGGGAGCAGCTCTGAGATCAAGGCAGTGGCAAGTGGCCTGCGGTCGTTCTTTACTTCATCTAGATTCTCTTTTGACAGATACGATGCAAAAAGTGCAAGTTTCATGGTGATTATAGCACAACTCCGAAATCTCCATGCCTTCTTGATACCTCATACTTCAAAAGTGTAAGTAAAATCAGCAAAGAACCTAAAAACTTCCACATGGGATAATTCTATATTGTAATCCAACAATTCATCAAAGTGAAGATATGGGAAAGACAGAGTAGGGCTGATCACGTCTAAATCTATGGTAGGCAAAGATGAAGGGAAACGGGAGAAAAGTGTGTTGGGTTTTAGTTCTTGTTTAACTGAATCATTAATAAAAATAGGAGCCAAGACTTTTTAATATCCTTTTTCAGCCAGAAATTCTGTATCATGCTAGGCAGGGGCCTGATTATTTGAAAGATAATTAAAGTTTTTGTTATTGTATAATACTTAAGTACTATTGGTTTAGAGGAATTTTCTGGTAGTTCACATGAAAATGTAGTGAAATTTTATTTATCAGGACAATATGGCTGATCAAACATTTTATCACACTACATGCTAAGACCATGTTTTTATCATCAGTCACTTGCCTGGGACCAAAGACTTCTTAAAGTTATTTCAGTTCCTCAAACGATTCGGAAGTGGTGTCACAATGCTGTGTCATTTATTGCTTCAGACTGTTTGTTTCCCAGCAAGTTCATTGTAGAGATCTTTACCACCGTTCATACTTTCCAGAGTAAGAGTTTCAGTGACTGGTAATGGCTCAGGGCTGCATGGTACCAGAATGAAGCCAGATTTTAACTTAGCATCTCTGACTTAGAATCCAGGATATGTATCCCCAGCCTGCCTTTCAACTTCCTGTAAGAGGTGGATCTTAATATTTGAAATATGCTGTGCAAGGGCTTGAAACTGAAAAAGAGCTATCAAGGGATGATCCCCAAGGCTCAGGCAAGTGGATGTTTTCCTTAATGGGAGAACATATTCTTCATCAAAAGGGACTTGAAAAGCCGAGCATGGTGGCTCACACCTGTAATCCCTGCACTCTGGGAGGCCAAGACAGGTAGATTGCTTGAGCTCAGGAGTTCAAGACCAGCCTGAGCAAGAGTGAGACACCCATCTATACTAAAAATAGAAAAACTAGCTGAGCCTGGTGGAGGGTGCATGTAGTCACAGCTACTCCAGAAGCAGGACTAGGAAGGTCCCTTGAGCCCAGGAGTTTGAGGTTGTTATGAGCTATGACATCACGGCACTCTACCCAGGGTGAAAGAGTGAGACGCTGATCCAAAAAGAAAAAGAAAAGGACTTCTAATAGAATAATTGTAAGAGTTCTGGAAGTTTTTTGGTACGGGTTTACTTTTAAGTTCACGTCCTAACATTCCAAGAATTATCAGAAAAAAAGAAAGTGGATCTAAGAATTAAAGAGCCATGTCAGGTCACTGAGCAGGCAGCAGCAGAACAGAGATGGGCTATGTCTGTGTTTTGCAAAGCATCGGCGCTGGAGCAGGTGGGGTTCCAGTAGGGCATGGGCTCCCAGGACTTCTTAAAATCGAGGCATGGCCTGTCCACATTAGTAGTAAGGCCAGTAAAGAGAGCAGGCATGATGTGGTGGTGCCAAGGTCACTCCAGGGAGCCTTCTTTCCAGGCCTGAGGTTAAAGACCCCAGTTCGCAGAGTTCTGAGAATCTGGCTAGATAATTTTATCTGTGCCTTCTCCCTGTGGGTAAATATGCCGTGATATTGACGTGTGCCCTTGGTGGCCTTTTAGTAAGGCAGATCAGGGAGAAGACAAGTCTACCAGAGACTGACTCTGTGAACAGTGAGGACCAATTTACAAGTCCAGGAGAAAACAGAATGCCCGGAGAATGAACACTTTCTTTAAACTCAAACAGTGCCCCCCACCCCCACCGTCCACCTCAGCTGAACAGTCCGGGCCACCCTTGCCACCTCACAGGAAGTCACAGTGGCCCTTGTGCCCTCTGAACGTGTCGGGGGCCAAGGGTAGTTGAGGTCTAGTGGTAGTGTTCAGCTTGCCTGGGGGGTGCACAGCCCGATTACCTGTCAAATTGGTCTGAACCTTTCCTGACGTACCTAGCAGCCTTCTCTTAAGCCCATATATAAAATGACAGTGCTAAGAAGGACAGTTAGTACTTGATATTCTTTTTTTTTTTTTTTT